GTTTGAGGTCCTGCTCCAGGTCCACCTGATGCTGCTGCTGCTGCTGCTGCTGCTGGCGGCTGGTTAGTAGTTTCCTCACTGCGCTGGTGAAGAAAGCTACTCATCATCGACTGCAGACTGAGGCAGCCGCTGCTGGTGGAGCTGCCACTGCTCCTACCACCCCCACCCCTCCCCTGCTGCCATGGCAGCGGAACGCGAGCGCACAGGGCCCACAGTGTCTGAGGATGGACGTTGGCGCAGACAGGCAGAGACCAGCTGACTACATAGGTGGTTTTTTATAGTACGTTATTTTGGCCTCCCTCTCAGCAGGTGTGAAAAAGGCCACCATTTTTGAACGGTAGCGAGGGTCCAACAAGGTGGACAGCCAAAAGTCATCCCTCTGTCTGATGGTTATTATTCGGCTGTCGCTACGCAAGCAAGCGAGCATGCTATGGGCCATTTGTGCCAAGGAATGCGAGGGACTCCCTGCCTCCATCTCCACAGCATACTGCCACGGTGCGTCTGGGTCCTCTGTCTCCTCCTCCTCCTCCTCCTCTACCAGATGCTCCTGCTCCTCCACTCCTGTCCGCTGAGTGGAAAAACCACCCATTTCACTCAATAATTCCTGAGCACCAATGTCCTCCTCTACCTCCTCCTCCTCTTCTTCCTGTCCTGCCCCCACAGGGGTCATGTGGCGTTGAGATCTGTGCGCCACGTCTACCGCACCCTGACCAGCCATTGTTAACAGCATTTGTTCCAGGACGTGCAACAGAGGAATGACGTCGTTCATCCCATAGTCCTGCCGACTCACGAATAGCGTGGCCTCCTCAAAGGGCCTGAGCAAGCGCAGGTGTCACGCATGAGCTGCCAATGGCTGACATCTAAGTTACACAGGGAGTACCTTTATCCGCTTTTTAACATCAGGAAATCTGTGATGGCCTTTCGCTGTTCGTAAAGGCGGTCTAACATATGTAGGGTTGAATTCCACCTTGTTGCAACGTCACACAGCATGCATGAGGAGTCGGTACGGGGGCCCATGGCAGATTAGGTGCCTGGCAGCAGCAATGGGAGGCCCGTAATCTGCCAGCACCCTATGTCAAAAAATTCAACACACCAGCAGTGTGAGGAGACCTGAAAGTGGCACATGGCAGAGTGTGGGCGATGGAGACAGCAGCAATGGGAGGCCGTACAGGGACCCATGACAGACTCTGGACCTGGCAGCAGCATGAGGAGGCGGTATATAGGGGCCCATGGCAGATTAGGGGCCTGGCAGCAGCTATGGGAGGCCCGTAATCTGCCAGCACCCTATGTCAAAAAAATTCTACACACCAGCAGTGTGTGAGGAGACCTGAAAGTGGCACATGGCAGAGTGTGGCGATGGAGACAGCAGCAATGGGAGGCCGTACAGGGGACCCATGAGAGACTCTGGACCTGGCAGCAGCATGAGGAGGCGGTATATAGGGGCCTATGGCAGATTAGGGGCCCTGGCAGCAGCTATGGGAGGCCCGTAATCTGCCAGCACCCTATGTCAAAAAATTCTACACACCAGCAGTGTGTGAGGAGACCTGAAAGTGGCACATGGCAGAGTGTGGCGATGGAGACAGCAGCAATGGGAGGCCGTACAGGGACCCATGAGAGACTCTGGACCTGGCAGCAGCATGAGGAGGCGGTATATAGGGGCCTATGGCAGATTAGGGGCCTGGCAGCAGCTATAGGAGGCCCATAATCTGCCAGCACCCTATGTCAAAAAATTCAACACACCAGCAGTGTGAGAGGAGACCTGAAAGTGGCACATGGCAGAGTGTGGCGATGGACAGCAGCAATGGGAGGCCGTACAGGGACCCATGAGAGACTCTGGACCTGGCAGCAGCAGGAGGAGGCGGTATATAGGGGCCCATGGCAGATTAGGGGCCTGGCAGCAGCTATGGGAGGCCCGTAATCTGCCAGCACCCTATGTCAAAAAAAATTCTACACACCAGCAGTGTGTGAGGAGACCTGAAAGTGGCACATGGCAGAGTGTGGCGATGGAGACAGCAGCAATGGGAGGCCGTACAGGGACCCATGACAGACTCTGGACCTGGCAGCAGCATGAGGAGGCGGTATATAGGGGCCTATGGCAGATTAGGGGCCTGGCAGCAGCTATGGGAGGCCCGTAATCTGCCAGCACCCTATGTCAAAAAATTCAAACACACCAGCAGCAGTGTGTGAGGAGAGACCTGAAAGTGGCACATGGCAGAGTGTGGCGATGGAGACAGCAGCAATGGGAGGCCGTACAGGGACCCATGACAGACTCTGGACCTGGCAGCAGCATGAGGAGGCGGTATATAGGGGCCTATGGCAGATTAGGGGCCTGGCAGCAGCTATAGGAGGCCCATAATCTGCCAGCACCCTATGTCAAAAAATTCAACACACCAGCAGTGTGAGGAGACCTGAAAGTGGCACATGGCAGAGTGTGGCGATGGAGACAGCAGCAATGGGAGGCCGTACAGGGACCCATGACAGACTCTGACCTGGCAGCAGCATGAGGAGGCGGTATATAGGGGCCCATGGCAGATTAGGGGCCTGGCAGCAGCAATGGGAGGCCCGTAATCTGCCAGCACCCTATGTCAAAAAATTCAACACACCAGCAGTGTGTGAGGAGACCTGAAAGTGGCACATGGCAGAGTGTGGCGATGGAGACAGCAGCAATGGGAGGCCGTACAGGGACCCATGACAGACTCTGGACCTGGCAGCAGCATGAGGAGGCGGTATATAGGGGCCTATGGCAGATTAGGGGCCTGGCAGCAGCTATGGGGAGGCCCATAATCTGCCAGCACCCTATGTCAAAAAATTCTACACACCAGCAGTGTGTGAGGAGACCTGAAAGTGGCACATGGCAGAGTGTGGCGATGGAGACAGCAGCAATGGGAGGCCGTACAGGACCCATGAGAGACTCTGGACCTGGCAGCAGCATGAGGAGGCGGTATATAGGGGCCTATGGCAGATTAGGGGCCTGGCAGCAGCTATGGGAGGCCCGTAATCTGCCAGCACCCTATGTCAAAAAATTCTACACACCAGCAGTGTGTGAGGAGACCTGAAAGTGGCACATGGCAGAGTGTGGCGATGGAGACAGCAGCAATGGGAGGCCGTACAGGGACCCATGAGAGAGACTCTGGACCTGGCAGCAGCATGAGGAAGGCGGTATATAGGGGCCTATGGCAGATTAGGGGCCTGGCAGCAGCTATAGGAGGCCCATAATCTGCCAGCACCCTATGTCAAAAAATTCAACACACCAGCAGTGTGTGAGGAGACCTGAAAGTGGCACATGGCAGAGTGTGGCGATGGAGACAGCAGCAATGGGAGGCCGTACAGGGACCCATGAGAGACTCTGGACCTGGCAGCAGCATGAGGAGGCGGTATATAGGGGCCCATGGCAGATTAGGGGCCTGGCAGCAGCTATGGGAGGCCCATCTGCCAGCAGCACCCTATGTCAAAAAATTCTACACACCAGCAGTGTGTGAGGAGACCTGAAAGTGGCACATGGCAGAGTGTGGCGATGGAGACAGCAGCAATGGGAGGCCGTACAGGGACCCATGACAGACTCTGGACCTGGCAGCAGCATGAGGAGGCGGTATATAGGGGCCCATGGGCCTATGGCAGATTAGGGGCCTGGCAGCAGCTATGGGAGGGAGGCCCGTAATCTGCCAGCACCCTATGTCAAAAAATTCAACACACCAGCAGTGTGTGAGGAGACCTGAAAGTGGCACATGGCAGAGTGTGGCGATGGAGACAGCAGCAATGGGAGGCCGTACAGGGACCCATGACAGACTCTGGACTCTGGACCTGGCAGCAGCATGAGGAGGCGGTATATATAGGGGCCTATGGCAGATTAGGGGGCCTGGCAGCAGCTATGGGAGGCCCCCATAATCTGCCAGCACCCTATGTCAAAAAATTCTACACACCAGCAGTGTGAGGAGACCTGAAAGTGGCACATGGCAGAGTGTGGCGATGGAGACAGCAGCAATGGGAGGCCGTACAGGGACCCATGACAGACTCTGGACCTGGCAGCAGCATGAGGAGGAGGCGGTATATAGGGGCCCATGGCAGATTAGGGGCCTGGCAGCAGCTATGGGAGGCCCGTAATCTGCCAGCACCCTATGTCAAAAAATTCTACACACACACCAGCAGTGTGTGAGGAGACCTGAAAGTGGCACATGGCAGAGTGTGGCGATGGAGACAGCAGCAATGGGAGGCCGTACAGGGACCCATGACAGAGACTCTGGACCTGGCAGCAGCATGAGGAGGCGGTATATAGGGGGCCTATGGCAGATTAGGGGCCTGGCAGCAGCTATGGGAGGCCCATAATCTGCCAGCACCCTATGTCAAAAAATTCTACACACAGCAGTGTGTGAGGAGACCTGAGAAAGTGGCACATGGCAGAGTGTGGCGATGGAGAGACAGCAGCAATGGGAGGCCGTACAGGGACCCATGAGAGACTCTGGACCTGGCAGCAGCATGAGGAGGCGGTATATAGGGGCCTATGGCAGATTAGGGGCCTGGCAGCAGCTATGGGAGGCCCATAATCTGCCAGCACCCTATGTCAAAAAATTCAACACACACAGCAGTGTGAGGAGACCTGAAAGTGGCACATGGCAGAGTGTGGCGATGGAGACAGCAGCAATGGGAGGCCGTACAGGGACCCATGAGAGCAGACTCTGGACCTGGCAGCAGCATGAGGAGGCGGTATATAGGGGCCTATGGCAGATTAGGGGCCTGGCAGCAGCTATGGGAGGCCCATAATCTGCCAGCACCCTATGTCAAAAAAATTCTACACACACACAGCAGTGTGTGAGGAGACCTGAAAGTGGCACATGGCAGAGTGTGGGCGATGGAGACAGCAGCAATGGGAGGCCGTACAGGGACCCATGAGAGACAGACTCTGGACCTGGCAGCAGCATGAGGAAGCGGTATATAGGGGGGCCTATGGCAGATTAGGGGCCTGGCAGCAGCTATGGGAGGCCCGTAATCTGCCAGCACCCTATGTCAAAAAATTCAACACACCAGCAGTGTGTGAGGAGACCTGAAAGTGGCACATGGCAGAGAGTGTGGCGATGGAGACAGCAGCAATGGGAGGCCGTACAGGGACCCATGACAGACTCTGGACCTGGCAGCAGCATGAGGAAGCGGTATATAGGGGCCTATGGCAGATTAGGGGCCTGGCAGCAGCTATGGGAGGCCCATAATCTGCCAGCACCCTATGTCAAAAAATTCTACACACACAGCAGTGTGTGGAGACCTGAAAGTGGCACATGGCAGAGTGTGGCGATGGAGACAGCAGCAATGGGAGGCCGTACAGGGACCCATGACAGACTCTGGACCTGGCAGCAGCATGAGGAGCGGTATATAGGGGCCCATGGCAGATTAGGGGCCTGGCAGCAGCATTGGGAGGCCCGTAATCTGCCAGCACCCTATGTCAAAAAATTCACACACCAGCAGTGTGTGAGGAGACCTGAAAGTGGCACATGGCATGAGAGACTCTGGACCTGGCAGCAGCATGAGGAATATATATAGGGGCCATGGCAGATTAGGGGCCTGGCAGCAGCTATGGGAGGCCCTAATCTGCCAGCACCCTATGTCAAAAAATTCTACACACCAGCAGTGTGTGAGGAGACCTGAAAGTGGCACATGGCAGAGTGTGGCGATGGAGACAGCAGCAATGGGAGGCCGTACAGGGACCCATGACAGACTCTGGACCTGGCAGCAGCATGAGGAGGCGGTATATAGGGGCCTATGGCAGATTAGGGGCCTGGCAGCAGCTATGGGAGGCCCGTAATCTGCCAGCACCCTATGTCAAAAAATTCTACACACCAGCAGTGTGTGAGGAGACCTGAAAGTGGCACATGGCAGAGTGTGGCGATGGAGACAGCAGCAATGGGAGGCCGTACAGGGACCCATGACAGACTCTGGACCTGGCAGCAGCATGAGGAAGCGGTATATAGGGGCCTATGGCAGATTAGGGGCCTGGCAGCAGCTATGGGAGGCCCCATAATCTGCCAGCACCCTATGTCAAAAAATTCAACACACCAGCAGTGTGAGGAGACCTGAAAGTGGCACATGGCAGAGTGTGGCGATGGAGACAGCAGCAATGGGAGGCCGTACAGGGACCCATGAGAGACTCTGGACCTGGCAGCAGCATGAGGAAGGCGGTATATAGGGGCCCATGGCAGATTAGGGGCCTGGCAGCAGCTATGGGAGGCCCGTAATCTGCCAGCACCCTATGTCAAAAAATTCTACACACCAGCAGTGTGTGAGGAGACCTGAAAGTGGCACATGGCAGAGTGTGGCGATGGAGACAGCAGCAATGGGAGGCCGTACAGGGACCCATGACAGACTCTGGACCTGGCAGCAGCATGAGGAGGCGGTATATAGGGGCCTATGGCAGATTAGGGGCCTGGCAGCAGCTATGGGAGGCCCGTAATCTGCCTGCCAGCACCCTATGTCAAAAAATTCTACACACCAGCAGTGTGTGAGGAGACCTGAAAGTGGCACATGGCAGAGTGTGGCGATGGAGACAGCAGCAATGGGAGGCCGTACAGGGACCCATGAGAGACTCTGGACCTGGCAGCAGCATGAGGAGCGGTATATAGGGGCCCATGGCAGATTAGGGGCCTGGCAGCAGCTATATGGGAGGCCCATAATCTGCCAGCACCCTATGTCAAAAAATTCTACACACACCAGCAGTGTGAGGAGACCTGAAAGTGGCACAAGGGCACAGGCAGAGTGTGGCGATGGAGACAGCAGCAATGGGAGGCCGTACAGGGACCCATGAGAGAGACTCTGGACCTGGCAGCAGCATGAGGAGGCGGTATATAGGGGCCCATGGCAGATTAGGGGCCTGGCAGCAGCTATGGGAGGCCCATAATCTGCCAGCACCCTATGTCAAAAAATTCTACACACCAGCAGTGTGTGAGGAGACCTGAAAGTGGCACATGGCAGAGTGTGGCGATGGAGACAGCAGCAATGGGAGGCCGTACAGGGACCCATGAGAGACTCTGGACCTGGCAGCAGCATGAGGAGGCGGTATATAGGGGCCTATGGCAGATTAGGGGCCTGGCAGCAGCAATGGGAGGCCCGTAATCTGCCAGCACCCTATGTCAAAAAATTCTAACACACAGCAGTGTGTGAGGAGACCTGAAAGTGGCACATGGCAGAGTGTGGCGATGGAGACAGCAGCAATGGGAGGCCGTACAGGGACCCATGAGAGACTCTGGACCTGGCAGCAGCATGAGGAGGCGGTATATAGGGGCCTATGGCAGATTAGGGGCCTGGCAGCAGCTATGGGAGGCCCATAATCTGCCAGCACCCTATGTCAAAAAATTCTAACACACCAGCAGTGTGTGAGAGAGACCTGAAAGTGGCACATGGCAGAGTGTGGCGATGGAGACAGCAGCAATGGGAGGGCCGTAAGGGACCCCATGACAGACTCTGGACCTGGCAGCAGCATGAGGAGGCGGTATAGGGGCCCATGGCAGATTAGGGGCCTGGCAGCAGCATGGGAGGCCCGTAATCTGCCAGCACCCTATGTCAAAAAATTCTACACACCAGCAGTGTGTGAGGAGACCTGAAAGTGGCACATGGCAGAGTGTGGCGATGGAGACAGCAGCAATGGGAGGCCGTACAGGGACCCATGAGAGACTCTGGACCTGGCAGCAGCATGAGGAGGCGGTATATAGGGGCCTATGGCAGATTAGGGGCCTGGCAGCAGCTATGGGAGGCCCGTAATCTGCCAGCACCCTATGTCAAAAAATTCTACACACCAGCAGTGTGTGAGGAGACCTGAAAGTGGCACATGGCAGAGTGTGGCGATGGAGACAGCAGCAATGGGAGGCCGTACAGGGACCCATGAGAGACTCTGGACCTGGCAGCAGCAGCATGAGGAGGCGGTATATATAGCCTATGGCAGATTAGGGGCCTGGCAGCAGCTATGGGAGGCCCATAATCTGCCAGCACCCTATGTCAAAAAATTCAACACACCAGCAGTGTGTGAGGAGACCTGAAAGTGGCACATGGCAGAGTGGCATGAGACAGCAATGGGAGGCCTGGGACCCATGACAGACTCTGGACAGCAGAGGAGGAGGCGGTATATAGGGGCCCCATGGCAGATTAGGGGCCTGGCAGCAGCTATGGGAGGCCCATAATCTGCCAGCACCCTATGTCAAAAAATTCTACACACCAGCAGTGTGTGAGGAGACCTGAAAGTGGCACATGGCAGAGTGTGGCGATGGAGACAGCAGCAATGGGAGGCCGTACAGGGACCCATGAGAGACTCTGGACCCTGGCAGCAGCATGAGGAGGCGGTATATAGGGGCCTATGGCAGATTAGGGGCCTGGCAGCAGCTATGGGAGGCCCATAATCTGCCAGCACCCTATGTCAAAAAATTCTACAACACACCAGCAGTGTGAGGAGACCTGAAAGTGGCACATGGAGACATGGCAAGAGACAAGCAATGGGAGGCCGTACAGGGACCCATGACCTGGACCTGGCAGCAGCATGAGGAGGCGGTATATAGGGGCCCATGGCAGATTAGGGGCCTGGCAGCAGCTATGGGAGGCCCGTAATCTGCCAGCACCCTATGTCAAAAAATTCTACACACCAGCAGTGTGTGAGGAGACCTGAAAGTGGCACATGGCAGAGTGTGGCGATGGAGACAGCAGCAATGGGAGGCCGTACAGGGACCCATGACAGACTCTGGACCTGGCAGCAGCATGAGGAGCGGTATATAGGGGCCTATGGCAGATTAGGGGCCTGGCAGCAGCTATGGGAGGCCCATAATCTGCCAGCACCCTATGTCAAAAAATTCTACACACCAGCAGTGTGTGAGGAGACCTGAAAGTGGCACATGGCAGAGTGTGGCGATGGAGACAGCAGCAATGGGAGGCCGTACAGGGACCCATGAGAGACTCTGGACCTGGCAGCAGCATGAGGAGGCGGTATATATAGGGGCCTATGGCAGATTAGGGGCCTGGCAGCAGCTATAGGAGGCCCGTAATCTGCCAGCACCCTATGTCAAAAAATTCTACACACCAGCAGTGTGTGAGGAGACCTCAAAGTGGCACATGTTTGAGGCATGATTCATGGCGGATTTAGTCAGTTGTGTCAGGAACTGGTGGTTTGAAATCCAGACTAATCCACGCCTGATTCATTTTCACAAAACGTGAGTCTCTCCACACTTTGGGTGGACAGTCGTGTCCTCCGCGGAGTTACAATACCTCCTGCCGCACTAAACACGCGCTCCGATGCCACGCTACTGGCCGGGCATGACAGCCTTTCAAGGGCAAATTCAGCTAGTTGGGGCCAAAGGTCAAGTTTCGTTGCCCAGTAGTCAAGGGGATTGTCTACCTCGGTTGGCAGGGTGCTGTCCAAGTAGGCCCAAGCCTGTTGTTTGAGGTCCTGCTCCAGGTCCACCTGATGCTGCTGCTGCTGCTGCTGCGGCTGGTTAGTAGTTTCCTCACTGCGCTGGTGAAGAAAGCTACTCATCATCGACTGCAGACTGAGGCAGCTGCTGCTGGTGGAGCTGCCACTGCTCCTACCACCCCCCACCCCTCCCCTGCTGCCATGGCAGCGGAACGCGAGCGCACAGGGCCCACAGTGTCTGAGGATGGACGTTGGCGCACAAAGGCAGAGACCAACTGACTACATAGGTGGTTTTTATAGTAGTACGTTATTTTGGCCTCCCTCTCAGCAGGTGTGAAAAAGGCCACCATTTTGGAACGGTAGCGAGGGTCCAACAAGGTGGACAGCCAAAAGTCATCCCTCTGTCTGATGGTTATTATTCGGCTGTCGCTACGCAAGCAACCGAGCATGCTATGGGGCCATTTGTGCCAAGGAATGCGAGGGACTCCCTGCCTCCATCTCCACAGCATACTGCCACGGTGCGTCTGGGTCCTCTGTCTCCTCCTCCTCCTCCTCTACCAGATGCTCCTGCTCCTCCTCCACTCCTGTCCGCTGAGTGGAAAAACCACCCATTTCACTCAATAATTCCTGAGCACAAATGTCCTCCTCTACCTCCTCCTCTTCTTCTTCCTGTCCTGCCCCCACAGGGGTCATGTGGCGTTGAGATCTGTGCGCCACGTCTACCGCACCCTGACCAGCCATTGTTAACAGCATTTGTTCAAGGACGTGCAACAGAGGAATGACGTCGTTCATCCCATAGTCCTGCCGACTCACGAATAGCGTGGCCTCCTCAAAGGGCCTGAGCAAGCGGCAGGTGTCACGCATGAGCTGCCAATGGCTGACATCGAAGTTACACAGGGGAGTACCTTTATCCGCTTGTAACATCAGGAAATCGGTGATGGCCTTTCGCTGTTCGTAAAGGCGGTCTAACATGTGTAGGGTTGAATTCCACCTTGTTGCAACGTCGCAGATCAGGCGATGCTGTGGAATTCCGTTCTGCCGCTGCAGCTCAAGGAGGGTGTGCTTTTGCGGTGTAGGAATGGCTGAAATGCATGCAAAGTTTACGTGACATTTTAAGGATGTCTTGCAGTGGGATGGTGGATTTTAAGAACCGCTTGACAACCAGATTGAACACGTGAGCCATGCATGGCGCATGGCACAACCTTCCTTGACGCAGAGCAGACACCATGTTCTTTCCGTTGTCGGTCAACATGGTTCCGATTTTTCAGTTTGCGCGGAGACAGCCATCTGTCGATTTCTCTGTTCATTACACTCAGAAGTTCCTCCCCCCTGTGTGACTACGTTCGCCAAGGCATACCAGGTGCAGAACAGCGTGACACCGTTGCGCCCTGCACATGTGATATGCCGGTCGGGTAATGGGACTTGGCACGGGGGTGGCGGCTGAGGACACGGCGGAAGAAGAGGTGGTAGAGGCGGACATCTTTGCCGGACCAAGGACGTGCAAACGTGGAGGCAAAAGCGGCGTGACCTGTCCAAGTTGCTGGTGCGGCTGTGACGGCACCACGTTCACCCAGTGGGGCCGTAAATGACATGTACTGTCCCTGACCGTAGTTACAGCTCCACACGTCGGCGCTGCCGTGCACTTTGGCAGAGAGACCGACATGCTCAAAGACTGGCCCACCATGTCTTCTACATGTGAATGCAGGGCTGGCACTGCCTTTTTGGCGAAGAAATGACGGCTTGGCACTCTCCACCCCGGCGCGGCACAAGCCATCATTTCTCTGAAAGGTGCTGAGTCCACCACTTGGAAAGGGAGGGACTGCAGCACCAGCAACTTGGACAGGAGGACGTTCAGCTTTTGCACCGTCGGGTGCGTGCTCGCAAACTGTTGTCTCTTGGAAACGGATTCCAAGAAAGACTGCTGACGGAATCCGTGAAGAGGAGTAGCAGGAGAAGGAGCATCTGAACGAGCGGAAGATGCCAACGAGCGACAACTCCCCTCAGCAGAGGTGTTGGAGCCTTGACTGGCTGATGGAGGGCATTGACGTCGGGTGACGGAGCAAGTAACGGAGCGGGTGATGGAGCGGGGGGGGGGGCGGGCAGAACCGCCGTATCTTTATCACGGTTTTCCCAGGCCACCAAATGGCGACGCTGCATATGCTGCCGCAACGCTGTAGTCCCAACATGGGCCCCCTGGCCACGCTTGACTTTCTGGCCACATAGTCGACATACGGCTACGTTTACTTCCTCGGGCGGCTTGACGAAAAATTGCCACACCGCCCGAGTAGGAAACTTTGCCCCCGATACTCCTCACTGGCTGACTGCTGCTTCCTCCGTGCACACCGGCACCACTACTGGCCGTGGTGGTAGGCTGCTGCAGTGGAGCTGGTGCTCTACTCCGTGGACGTTTGGCTCCACTGACACTGCTGCGACCCTGCTGCTGCCCTGCTGCTCCTGGGCTCCTGGGCAACCCACCGACTGTTTTGCTCGCTGCCAAGCTGCCACCCTCTTCTCCTGATGATGCGGAAGAAATTGCCTGATGACGACGAGGCTGCCAAGTGCGATCAACCTCCTCATCATCAAGTAGGGTCTCCGCCTCACTACTAGCCCCCCTCGGCTGCGTCTGGGTCAGGAGACAGACCTGTCTCTAGACCGGCTACCGAGCCACTCTCCTCGCCACTACTTCTTCGCCTGGCTGCTGAAAAGGCGGATGTCTCCCCCCGTTCCCTGACCGCCCTCTCTGTTAGCTCTTCCTCACTGTACAGTGGGGCTGAGCCCACAGCATGCGATACTTCGCTTGGTGAGGGAACACCAAAGGACAGGGCAGGTAGAGGACACGTGATTTCAGTGGGCTTGGTCCCGGGCCATGCCAACTAACGGTTGTGTCTGACGTACCCACCGACCGTTGTTGGCTGTAGGTGTCAGAGGTGACCTGGGGGAAGAGGAAGACGACCGAGCCAACCAATCGACGACGGCAGGGTTGTCGGTGGAGACACGACCGCTGGATGACACCGGGAGCACTGGCCTCTGGCTGCGAATAGTGCTGCCTCGACCCCTTCCTCTGCTGCCACGTCTGCTCTCTCGCTCCTAAAACATTGCCTCCTCTGCCACTCCTCTGCATGTTGTCTGACATACTCTTTAATTAAACGATTATGTGTCCCTGAGTAACAATTCTGTGTCCCTGAGTAACAATTCTGTGTCTGTGCGAGTAACAATTCTGTGGCCCTAAGTAACAGTTCTGTGGCCCTCAGTAACAATTCTGTGTCCCTGATTAACGTTTCTGTGGCCCCAAGTAACAGTTCTGTGGCCCTCAGTAACAATTCTGTGTCTGTGCGAGTAACAATTCTGTGTCTGTGCGAGTAACAATTCTGTGGCCCTAAGTAAAGTTTCTGTGGCCCTAAGTAACAATTCTCTGGCACTCAGTAACAATTCTGTCTGTCCCTGAGTAACAATTCTCTGGCACTCAGTAACAATTCTGTCTGTCCCTGAGTAAAAATTCTGTGGCCCTAGTAAAGTTTCTGGGGCCCTGAGTAACAATTATCTGGCACTCCGTAACAATTCTGTCTGTCCCTGAGTAACAATTCTCTGGCACTCAGTAACAATTCTGTCTGTCCCTGAGTAAAAATTCTCTGGCCCTAAGTAAAGTTTCTGTGGCCCTGAGTAACAATTCTCTGGCACTCCGTAACAATTCTGTCTGTCCCTGAGTAACAATTCTCTGGCACTCAGTAACAATTCTGTCTGTCCCTGAGTAAAAAATTCTGTGGCCCTAATTAAAGTTTCTGTGGCCCTAAGTAACAATTCTCTGGCACTCAGTAACAATTCTGTCTGTCCCTGAGTAACAATTCTCTGGCACTCGGTAACAATTCTGTCTGTCCCTGAGTAACAATTCTCTGGCACTCAGTAACAATTCTGTCTGTCCCTGAGTAAAAATTCTGTGGCCCTAATTAAAGTTTCTGTGGCCCTAAGTAACAATTCTCTGGCACTCAGTAACAATTCTGTCTGTCCCTGAGTAACAATTCTCTGGCACTCAGTAACAATTCTGTCTGTCCCTGAGTAACAATTCTCTGGCACTCAGTAACAATTCTGTCTGTCCCTGAGTAAAAATTCTCTGTGGCCCTAAGTAAAGTTTCTGTGTGGCCCTGAGTAACAATTCTCTGGCACTCAGTAACAATTCTGTCTGTCCCTGAGTAACAATTCTCTGGCACTCAGTAACAATTCTGTCTGTCCCTGAGTAAAAATTCTGTGGCCCTAATTAAAGTTTCTGTGGCCCTGAGTAACAATTCTCTGGCACTCAGTAACAATTCTGTCTGTCCCTGAGTAACAATTCTCTGGCACTCAGTAACAATTCTGTCTGT